CAAGGGTCATACATATAAGTTCTTTGGTTTCTTCATTTTGTATACTATTATTAACCTCCCCTTGTCTATTTTGTATCTACCATTTATGCTTCTTATTCCCTTCTCCACTCCCGCACCCCCCGGCCCTGATAATGCTTTATGTGATCTCCATTTCTGTGATTTGTTTCCTGTTCTAGCTGTTTACTTAGTTATTTTTTTTTTTTAGGTTCAGTTGTGGATAGTTGTGAGTTTGTTGTCATTTTACTGTCTATATTTTTGATCATCTTCTTTTTCTTAGATAAGTCCCTTTAACATTTCATATAATAAGGGCTTGGTGATGATGAACTCCTTTCACTTGACCTTATCTGGGAAGTACTTTATCTGCCTTCCATTCTAAATGACAGCTTTGCTGGATAGAGTAATCGTGGATGTAGATCCTTGCCTTTCATGACTTTGAATACTTCTTTCCAGCCCCTTCTTGCCTGTAAGATTACTTTTGAGAAATCAGCTGATAGTCTTATGGGAACTCCTTTGTAGGTTACTCTCTGCTTTTCTTGTGCTGCTTTGAAGATTCCCTCCTTATCTTTAATCTTGAGTAATGTAATTATGATGCCCCTTGGTGTGTGCTTCCTTGAGTCCAACTTCTTTGGGATCTCTGAGCTTCCTGGACTTCCTGGAAGTCTATTTCCTTGGCCAGATTGCGGAAGTTCTCTTTCACTATTTGTTCAAGTAAGCTTTCAATTTCTTGGTCTTCTTCTTCTCCTTCTGACACCCCTCTAATTTGGATGTTGCAACATTTAAAGGTGTCCTAGAGGTTCCTAAGCCTGTTCTCAGTTTTTCGAATTCTTATTTCTATATTCTGTTCTGGTTGAATGTTTATTTCTGCCTTCTGCTCCAAATCATTGATTTGAGTCCCAGTTTCCTTCCTTTCACTGTTGACTCCCTGTATATTTTTTGTATATTCACTTGAATAACCTTCACTTTTTCTTCTGTTTTGTGGCCATACTCAGCCATTTCTGTGAGCATCCTGATTACCAGTGTTTTGAACTCTGCATCTGATGGATTAGCTATCTCCTCATTGCTCAGTTCTATTTTTGGAGCTTTGATCTGTTCTTTCATTTGGGCCATATTTTTCTTTTGTCTCAGGGTGCCTGTTATGTTGTAAGAGGTGGAGCCTTAGGTATTCACCAGGCCTGGGGCACCCATGTCACTGGGTTGTAGCGCTGTATGTGGAGGAGCAGTCCAAGAGGGAACAATGTTGCTTGCTTGGCTCTTGCCCTGCTTTCAGTCACTTCCCCTGTTGTCCACAAGCAAACTGGGTGCTTCTGGTGCTGATTCCAGGGTGGGTGTGTTTGTATACAATCTAGGACCCTGAGGGTCTCTCCAGTGAAATCTCCTGTGAGGCTGGGAGTTTCTCCTGCCACCACAACCCCTACACGTTTTTACGGCCGGAGCTTTTGAGGCTTTATTTCCCCTCACTGGAACCCTGGGTTGCATGGTTTGTCTTGCTCCCTAGTTGTCCATCATGGTTTCTCCACATGCAAATGTGGGGCTGGCTGCTCCACCAGCCACTGCCTTGCCACATATCCTCTCCACCCCGGCTGCCTATCTCCACCCCTTCTACCAATCTGAACGAATGTTTCTTCTTTAACTCCTTGGTTGTTGGACTTCCAAACAGTTCGATTTTCTGGTGATTCTGGTTATTTTTTTTGTTTTTAAATTTGTTATTGTTCTTCTTTTGGTTGTGCAAGGAGGCAAAGTGTACTTACCTATATCTCCATCTTGGCCAGAAGTCTGGAGGTGGACAAAGTCTTTACAATTACAATGTTTGTTTTCGTCTTTTACTATATTTTGCAGATTTTATATGATGAGCCTCGTGTTTCTTTATAATGAAAAAACAGACTTTGTTCAAAAATAAAAATTGGCTTTCATTAATGAATGGAGTTATTAGGTGCAAATATTTCTGCTTATGAATGATATGAACCCTATTTTTTTCTAAGACTGGGTTTTATGCAAATCATATCCTGTGTTGTTAGTGTTGCTAACTCACTTCAGGTACATCTTTTCTTTCCAAAAATGTTCATTGATAGGTACATTTTGTGACATGTTGTAATACAGAAGAGTTCAACATTTATTCAAGCATCAAATATTTATTGAGTGCCTACCCTATGCTAGCTGTTGAGAGTACAGTGAGTAACTGAGGCATAGTTCCTGTTCTTATGAAGTTTAGAACTTAACATTTGAAAACTCTTGAAAAGCTGTCAAGGGCTCAGTGTGTGGGAACAAACAGCACAAGCATCCAGCCTGGTCAAGAGGAACAAGAAAGGCTTTCAGAGGAAGTACAGTATCAGAGTTAGAAGCCAGAAGAGAGGTAAGTGTGTGTCCCACAGAGTTGAAATGGCCTATTTTAAAGACCTGGAGGTGAGCTATGTTTGGGGAACCAGAAATAGAGAAATACACTGACAACAGAGTTTGATGTCAGTGAGTGACCAGTGACAAAGGCCGGAATCAGTAGCTGGGTCATGGAAGGCCTTCTAAAGCAAGAAAAGGCATTCAAAGCTTGTCCTATGGGTCATGGAAAGCCATTGGAGAGTGAATTAATTTCCTAAGGTTTCCATGACAAATTACCACACACTTGATGGCTTAAAACAACAAAAATTTAGTTTCTCATAGTTTTCAAGGAGAGAAGTCCACTATCAAGGTGTCAGCAGGGTTAGTTCCTCTGGAATCTCGGAAGGGGAATCTGTTTCATATTTGTCTCCTGGATTCTGGTGGCACCTGGCAGCTCTTGGCCTTCCTCATCTACAAGCTTCATAACTCCAGTCTCTGCCCTGTATTCACATTACTTTCTTCTGTGTCTTCTCCTTTTCAGTCTTTTATGGTGAAACTTATTGAATTAGGGTCCACTCTTATCCAGGATGATCTCATCTTAAGATCCTACCCTGATTGCATATGCAAAGAACTTTATTTCAAAAAAAGGTCACATTCTGAGATTCAGGGTAGGCATGTCCTTTGGGGGACCACAATTCAGCTCACTAGAGACACTTGTAGGAGGTCAATTGAGCAAATCAGACTTATACGAGTATTTCGGAAGGACCCCTCTGGCTACCGTGTAGAAAAGGGATTCGAAGGGGTAAGACTGGGCACATGGAGACCAGTGGGAGTCTGGGTATAGGATGCTAGTGGCTTTGAAGGTCAGAAAGTGGAGATGAGTGTAGGAAATACTCCAGAGGTGGTTGGCTGTGTAGGGGGAAAGAGAGGACTGTGGTTGAGGAGAACACAGTGGTAAGGAGGGGCTTTTAAAGGAAGGGAGATACTTGGTGCATTTTTAATGCAGATGAGAAGATGCTATATCTACAAGGGAAAGTAGTTGAAAATACAGAAATGAGGGGTGAAAAAGCAGACATAATTGTTTTGGTGAAAAGGAGGGAGATGGGTCTGAAGCACAAGATGTGCATAACCAACACGCCCATCCTTTATATGGCTGCTTCTGGATAGCTTAACAGCTCGGTAGAGATGATGATGGTGATACTGAGGAAGATGGTTACTCCTGCTTAAGAACTCTCTCTGTGCCAGGGACCACACAGACTATTTTCCCTGTGTTACCTCATTTAATCTTTGGTGTGCTACATTTGTTATCTCCTTTAATTGCTTCGGAACCTGAAACACAGGGAGGTAAAATAATCTGCCCAAGACCACACAGATAAGAAGTGGTAGTGTGGTTTTCTCCAGGCAGTGTGACTGCTCCACCCATGGCCAGAAAGCACCGCTATCTGTGCTGCCTCCGAAGGGCGAGGGAACAATTTATTATGTGCATACTTTTTTTTTTTCATGGTTTATGTTGGCTTTGATAGCAGGCACTATTATCATTTTGCAGACCACAAAGCTATTATCTTACCTGCTATTTCTGTTTGTTCTTTTATCGGCTTGCCACCAGATAGATTTCGTGAGGCAGTGCTATTAATTTTCTTTATCTTTTCATGGAGTTAGGACTGGTTTGATTCATCCTTTTTATGTTTATCTGGATGGTAGGGTAGGGTGAATATTATTCCTTCATGTTAATAATACAAATATTAAATCTGCCCAAGGATCAAAACTGCTCTCAGGAGATTCATTTTCATAAGCTTTCACATATACCCAACTCCCTTGGATAACTGTTACTGACACCTGCTCTGCATGCGATTTCTCTGTACTGGCTGATGTCTGGATTTTTTTACTGAATGTTTTCTTGGCTCAGATATCATTTCCTTAGAGGAGTCTTTTTTTCCCCCCCGAAACTAGCTCTGGTTTCCCTGTTGTATACACCTCATAGGAGGACACAGTGGCTGGGACTCTAAGGCATACTGGACAACACTTAATCAGCATTATTTAAAGCTCAGGAATTTTTGAAAAGGAGAAGGAGGAAGATGGAATTTCATCTTCCAAAATTTTAAAATATTAGCAGTCAAAATATAATTCTAATTTCTTATGTAGATAGCATGGCTTAAGAACTTTGTTGTTATCACTGATAATCATCATTGTCATATTACATAGCTGGATTTGCAAATGTGTATCCAGGAAATGACTTTTGTTTCAATCACTAATATTGATGGATGTATATGTCTGAAAGTTTGTCCCAAGTGATTATTTTTAAAGCTTTAGGCAGCTGTATTATTAAGAGACTTGCTTTTATGACACTGGTCAACCATTTCCAGCTCAATACATTTGATGGATATCTCTTTTATAGTTTGAGTGCTTGAGGTTGAATATTAGGCTGAGAATAGGACTGAGAAGAGTTGTGTTCCAGGTAGCAGAAACCACACATGCAAAGATATAAGGAGCCAGCGTAGCAGGATGTACTTGCTAAAGGTCCTTTTCCTTTGCCCTGTACACAGTCCTGGGGATGCCAGCCAGTCAGTAGAGTATTTGCCACTCTCATTGATAAACATAAAGATTCTGAATACATTTGATCATGTGTTAGAACTGAAGTTGGGTCACTTTAATCATGATAATATTTTTTTCCCTTTGTGTTCTCTTGCCAGTCCCACCTGAAGCCATTGGCTTCTTGTCTGCAGTTGGGATCTTTATTGTTCTTCTGGCTGTCCTGTTCCTCTTCATCAACAAGAAGCTATGTTTTGAAAAGATAGGAGGCCCTCCATTCTTGGAACAACAAGGGAAAAGAAAGCACTCCAAAGACAAGACTGGGACCTGCGAAGGGCTGGGTAAGCATCACGCCTCGCATTCTCCTGAGCACGGCAACGTGCTGTGCTGTGGGTCGGGGGGGCATGTCACTTTCCAGGATGGGCTCCATTAAGAAATCACACATGAGCTGTTTGGCCGCCACTGTGGTGGACATGATGAATGGACATCACTAAAGGGTACATTAGCTTTATGAAAGTAATGCTCTGCTTCAAGTTTGAAGAGCAGATAAGAAAAAGCTGACTATCACTTCCCGTCTTAGCTTTTCAGATGTCTGTGTTGAGTTTCCCTCTGACTAAAGCTTGAAGGAAAAAAAAATGTTTTGTGATCGACAAGAGGCTTGATGTGTTTGGGTCTCATTATGTTGGAACAGAGTTGACATTGCACTTCAGTTAGCTACTTCTGAGCTTTTTCAGGCCCACTCCTCACTCACAAGGGCGACAGCCTCTTTTCCAAATGGAGGTTTTTACTCTTGAAGTTCACTGAATCTACTACATCATTAACTAACTGCCTTCAGTTTGATGGGGGGAAATAACATATTTAAAGAAATTACTGGCTTCCTGCTCTTAAAGGACATGTTCTATTTTCAATTGCTGAAGTGTAGAATTTTGTGATATAGAATTTTGTGATCACAGGGCGATGCTTATCATCACACACAACATGCTGGGTGTTCCAGGATAGTGCTGGTATCTTATGGGTAACAGTTTTGCTCTTTATGTTTATTTATTTTTTAATCAATCTGATTCTCCTGGAGTATGGGGCGTGATGTAACTGGTGGAGGAACAATCTTACTATATATGTTCTTACATTGTATTTTTGACCAGGGGCAAAGCCTTGAGGAGAACACCCTCTAGTCATCTCACCTCCTGGGTATGTTCTATGTGAACATGGACCAAGGAGAATGTTTGGCTTATTGATATGGTAGCTTTTGCTGTCATGGATAGTTCAACTTTTTCCTTCGTTATAAGAAAAGACATAATTTAGGCATAAATGTACATTAATTTTCTATCGCTTCATAACAGATTACTCCCAAATTTGCAAGTTTAAAACAAATATTCATTATCTCACAGTTTCTGAAGTTCAAGGATTTAGGATCACCTTAGTTGGATGATTCTAGATGGAGGTTTTCCATGAGGCTGCAGTTGGAATTCCTCCTGCAGTCATCTGAAGGCTTGGCTGGGAGTGATGGCCTCACTTCCAGGATGGGAGAAAGCTGCCCTTCCTGCCCTTGTGGGACCCTCCACAGGGCTGCTTGATGTGGTTATGACATGACAGCTGGCTTTCCCCAGAATGAGTGATCCAAGAGAGGAGAGCAAGCAGGAAGCCATGGTTCCTTTAATGAGCTGGTCTGGGAAGTCATACATTGTCACTTCTACCATACCCTGCTCATTCACTAAGTACAGCTGACACTCAATGGAAGGGGAAGTAGGTTCCACTTTTGAAGGGAAGACTATCAAAAAGTGTGTGGACCTATGTAAAATTCACCATAGGAGATGATGATGGGAGGGGTACAAGTTGCAGACTGGGCAATCGATTTGGCAGTACTGCTGTTGCAGTGGCTTTATGTTTTGAAAACAGACTGGCATATTTTAAGTAGAATTTGCCATGTGAAATCTGGGACTTGCAAATGATTTAGCCACTACTGTCACATTTGGCATATCAGTTAGCAGGATGTATAGATTTCTGTTTGGTCACAAGGTGGCATGGAGGTAGGATTCATAGCGATTCAGCTCTACTCCCTTCAGTAGCTGACCGTCATTAGCTGTGGGACCTTTGAAAATTATGGAACCTTTCTAAACTTTAGTTACCTTATCTGCATAATGGGATTATCAGTACAGCCCTTACAGAGTTGATATAGATTAAATGAATCAATTTTGTATAGATACCAGCATGGTGCCGATGGCAAAAAGTCATAATAGAACTTTACCCATAGCTGTGCAGCATTAACAAAATATTATCCCAGTCACAGTAATGGCTTCTAGGCATGGTGTCCATGCAAACACATTGTACTCATTACTGAGATTGGGAGATTAAAATTGGTGATGTTTTCTTCTTTTAAAATTATAAAGGCTACAAAGAACTAAGGTTAGAGCTATTTAAGATATTTCCCTTTGTCTAGGTTGACATGTTATAGTATTTTAGAGACAATTATGAATTATACTTGTAAATAAGTTGAAGGTTGAAGATAATGTTGAAATAATAACAATACAGCACAAACCAGAAGCCGTTAGCCCAAGAAATACTGAAAAAAAAATCCATGTCTCAAAAACTCAGAGGAGGGTCATAAAGGGGGTTTTAAAACTAGTTTAATCAGGAGAATCTCCAAATTATAATGTCTAAGAAGCAAACACCTTTATTTTGACAATCCTTCTTTGAAAAGTTCAATTATCATTGATCAAAAGTCTTTGAAAAACATGCTCCTATCCCAGATTTTACCTTACTTTTGATATTTGCCTTAATTATCATCCTTGCAGCACTGATTTCTCAGTGAAATTGTGATGTTCTTAACATATTTTGACAAACGTAAAGAAGGAGGGAAGGCAGACCGATGTGGTGGAGAGAAGCACAGCGCAGACAGCCGGAGCTTCGTTTTGCCACTAATTGGCCGTGATATTTTAGGAGGCTTACTTCATCTCTCCGGGCCTTAAGTCCTCCCTTGCAAATTGATGAGTCTGTACTAGGTTTTTCCCAATTCCTACTGTGCAATCCTGTTCGATTCTTAACAGTTACCCTAGCAATTTCTTCCCTAGGTCTCAATCTATAAATGAAAGAGTCCTGATAAAAATGATTTAAAAATCAACTATATCATCCTATTCTTAGGTCAAACCATATAAAGTTGCTGTATTTATAGATTAAAAAATGGCTGAATATCAGAAACCTAATCATTATAGTCTAATATATGTGAGGTTCTAAGAAATAAAATAATTCTTTTTGTGTGTATGGTGATATCAGAGAGGCAGGAGTGATAGCTTTTGAACCTACTAAGCAAAATAATTTACCTGACAAAAATACCTTACCTTCCTGTAAGCTACATATTTTTCAAAGTTCAAAGAATTTATACATATTGTTCTACCTAAATTTAGGTAAGGAGAGAGAGAAACGGAAACTGTTTCTTCCTAGTAACACAGGTAATGATAATAGTTAGATAAAGATAATTGGTTGCTAACATTTATTTAGCATTTACTATTGCTAGGCACCTGCTAGGTATGTTACATGCATTATTTGGTTTCTTTATGTAAAATACTTGGTTATTCATTGGCAGTGATTGCTTTGGGGGAAGGGTAGATACCACTTGGAATAAAGAAGCCATTGTTCAACTTTGAGATAAAACTATTTATTAAAAATAGAAGTTCCATGGTAAGATAATAGTTTTTAAACAAGCCTAGCTTTGAGAGATAAAAAGAGAGAGTTTTTTTTTTTGTTTTCCCTGAAAAGTTTTCTTTATATATCAAAGGCAAAATTTAGAAGGCAGAGCTTTTCTCTAAGAGGCACAATGTGAAAGGACAGAGGATGCGTTAGGAGGGCAGACCCCCTGCCACTCCCCAGGTAGGGAGGGGAAGAAGGGAGCACTTTCACCGCTGGAAAGTGCAGTCAGTGGCTTGGAAAGATGACAGAGGAATAGAGTCCAAGGGCTTGAAATGTTGCCTGGACCCTGTGAAGGATGACAGATGTAGGGTGGGGTCATTTGACAGATCTGGGCACAGTTACCGTTGGAATATAAGCAGGTCTACTTTCTGAGGTATTTACATAACAGTGCTTCATGAGTTACCTTGCAAACATATTCTTCTTGTGGCTTTTTAGCTTCCTTTGTGATACTGGGATAGTAATAAAAATCAGTCTGAAGTTCTCTGTAAGTACAAAGTACCATGGAAAGGTTTAATGTTACTTTACCAATGACTGTAGAGCATCTGTCTATCTATCTATCTATCTATCTATCTATCTATCTATCTATCTATCTATCTATCTATCATCTATCCATCTCTAACATACATAGTTTGGTCTTAATTTTTGGCAGAAACTGAGCCTTTTTGTATTTTAAATAGCCATAGCATGGAATTTTATGACCAAGCATTCTAAGTAGACCTCAGTGAACCTTGGTAGATCTTGGTAGAAGTGCCCAGTAAATGTGTATGGCTTCATGAACTGAAGTTCTTATTTAATTCTGCAGCATGGGTTCCCAGGATGATCTGAGGAAGCCTTAATCGTGCATCCTTTTGCTGGAGGAAGTAAAGCTATCTCACCAACTTTTGGGGCAGCTTTGAGGGATTTTGATAGAGTGGAAATGAACATGTCATCCTCATTGACAGATGAGGAAATGGCTCATTAGTTTAAAGCTTGTGCATTTGTTTGCATGTACTAAGGAATGACATCATTAACAATAGTCGTTCTCTCTGTGATATCTGCCAGAGATATCTCATGCCTAGAGGATACTATGGGTGGTATAAGTTACATTTATCAGAGAATATTGGGTTTTTGTGCTTCTTTTGTCAGCAAGACAATAATGATCATTATATTTTAAAGGGACACATGCCTTAAATTAAAAAAAATATATAGTTGATGTGTGGGCAACAGGAAAAAAAGGTTTATTGTTTGAGTAGAAGAGCTAGTAGCACAGATCACTGCTTCTGCATTGAATTGATGTCTATGAGTTTTTATGCTTAACTAGCTATTTGAGTAATCTGCTGTAAACTAGTTATTGGAGTAATAGGTTTGAAATCTCATTATTTTTCTGACAGATTAAAGTAAAAGAAAGAGTATGTCTGTGATTATAGGTTTTCATTAAAATATCTAAAACCCACTTAAATGCATCAAATGCCTTATTTACAGAAGCTCTCACAATAGTTTCAAGCCTGTGTTATTCCAGGAAGTCTGAGGTTTAATGACAAGATGACAGGTATTATTTGAAGTGTGTGAATTTAGGAATTCCAAAAACATTTTGAATCTTGTTTTTCTTAGTTTCTGTACTTTGAATCCTCAAAAACAGTTCTTAATACTTAAGAACAATTAATGACAGTCTTATAAA